TGGTGTGAACGCAAAATCCCAGGAACTATCGGAGATTCGGAACTAAAAGGGAAAAGTACTCCGGTGTGAAAGCGGCTAAAATGTCTGAAAGATATTGTCTTCATTTTCTGCTTTTTATCTCAAAACAAAGGCCATTTATAAGAATTGATTCACAGGATAAATACCCTACATTTCAAGCTTGAGCTTATTTTAATTCAATCTTTGTAGTGATCCATGTTAAAACCCAGTAGAAGCAGAAGAAGAAAATGTTATAGTTGTTCTACTCTAATGTTGAAGCAAAGAGAAAAAACCTCATTCTCATTGAAGTGTATGCAGGTGCTCTGAGGCCTGTGCTGTGATGAACAGGAAGTCACCCACCCTGTGATCTTCTGGGATCTCCTCCTCTGGTACTCCACCTCGTCCACCGTCCACACGGCGCCTTTCACATTCTCCACACGCACAAAACACTTGTGCAGGCTCAGGTTGTGGCGCACCGCGTTCTGATCCAGAGAAAATCAGAGTGAAGCACATATTACTGAATACACGCTGCATAAATCAGGTATGACACACACTGGGAGTCAATTATCTCGGGGTGCGATACCTTCCAAGTGGCAGCGTTGCGTCTGAAATAAGCAAACGTCCGCGTGAACCAGTTGTAAATCTCGTTCAGGGTCAGCTGCACGTCGGATGTTTCCATAATAGCCTGTAGATGGAGGGGAATAAAAAAATAAAAAAATAAGGACATGATCAAGTTACAAACCTCACTTCTTCAATTCTTATCCAAGAAAGGAGGAGACAGTCGCACACTCACAAAGATACAGGCGTTTTATTTAATTATTGCTGAATCAACTGGTTTTACTTTTTTAAGATAAAAGACCACTCTCTTGTCTGACACAAGACAAGTGCAGTGTTGTTAATCAAGTTTATTTTCATTATCAATTAATCTGCTGAACCTTTTCATGATAAATATACGACCCAGATTAGATGTCCGAAAAAAGCACAAAGCTCAAATCAAATTCCTATTTTTTCTGTTCAATAAGAGATATTAGTTAAATATAATTAGTTTTATATGATGGTCTACAATGAGAGCCAGACAATTATAATATTTTAGAAACTAATCCAAGGGGAATCTTGGCTTGAGAAGTAACTTAGTTGACATGATTATCAAAATGTTGCCAATTAATTTCAATTCGTAAAAACAGTTGATTCAAATGAATGAACTGACATGGCCATCAACATGAGAGAGGTTGTGCATCAAAAAAGCCTCTGATAGGGCAGATTTCACATCATAGGTACATTTGAATACAACAAATCTGCATGCATCTATATTGCAAATTATACAATACAAGTCTACAAATGTGATATATTTAATATTACATTACATGTCACTTGTTAGACGCTTTTATACAAAACGACTTACATACTCAATACTGTGGGCAATCCCCACAGGAGCAATTTGGGGTGAAGTGTCTCAGGGACACAACGACATGCTGACTGCAGTGGGGTTTGAACCTGTGACCCCCTGATCCGAACACCAACGCACAACCCACTATAATATATTACATGTAAGTCACGTGTTTACATTGGTTAAAGTTAAGTAAAGAGAATATCACTTCTTTCTCTATTCATAAACGTTACAAACTGTACCTGTCTTATCAGTGTTGCATAGGTGAAAGGCGGTCTGATATCGTTGTTCTTGTAGAGCTCATATTCATTTTCTGAAACAAGACGAATATTTTAAAGTGGAAAATGTGCTATAAAGTCTTTATTTCTGAATGAATACATTACTAGAGTATTTCGTTTACCTGAGGACAGGGAGTAGACCAAAGGGTGATGGCGACTCCTTATAGCCCCGGCACAGGACGTGTGATTGGTCAGATCTTCCTCACTCCCCTGGAATGAAGTACTGACAGGAGCCAGAGTTCGAGGGCACACCTGGGGGGGGTCCGAGGGGCTCAGCGAGGGCAGGTTGTCGCTGACAGAAACTGAACTGAGCTGAGAGCGACACAAGCAGAAGATCCAAGTTAACAAAGGAAACAAGCGGAGTGGAAAGATTGACGGAGAAACAAAACAGAGCGGGAGATGTTCAGCTGAGTGTAACAGAGCGATTTGATGCGCCTCCTCAGAGGTGATTCCACTAATATCGCAAGAAGAAGGGAGCCAATTATTGTTCATTATAGGGTGAAATTGTTTGGTGAGTGTTGTGATTATGGCACAATATTTGCAAGATTAACATCTGATTAGCTTTCACGTTATGAGAGCATGTCTGCTGTCTGAAAACACAAAGGCAGCCATCTGGTGCCAACAGCTGGGAGGCGAAGGAAAGGAAAGTAAAGATGGAGATCTCAACAAAGGAAAAAGTCAATTGAGATTTAAAAACACGGGAGAAGAGGAAACTTTTAAAAGAAATGCATTTGTGATCTGATCTGGAATCATTTTTCTTAGGTTCAAATATTTCTGACTTTCATTTCAAGCAGATGAACCCCTAAGCCATGTTTATTTGTTTCAAGGAAAATGCATACTTTTGCAACTCATCCAACTGTAAAAGTTCCCACGGTCAATTACAGGGTGGCGGTATCATATCAGTGCTACAAAAGATGAGGTTCCAAAAAAACATGATTTATTCCCATTCTCCACTACATATGTGGAGTTCTGTGTGCATTCAGTTTACGGCTCATTTACTCTGCCTCTGTTGCTCACACAGCCGATCTACCTGAAGGTGTGGGTGAGCGGCCGTGTCAGATTGTGGCGACCGGCGACTCGGGGGTGCAGAGATCAACTGAGACTCCAAAGATGGCAGATGCAGGTGAGCCATCATCGCTCGCAGACGCTCCCGTTCTTTGCAGAGCTGTGAGAGCAAAATCAGAGTTGACGGTGTCGCTTCAAAATCACTGAACACAGGTTGTCAAAAATGGAACGCTGTGAACCAAACACATATCAAAAATATCCTTTTCTCACTGTGTCAAACAACATCAGAGAGGAGGTGGTGTTGGGAGGACACTACATGAATATTTACCCGGAGCATGAAGGTGTTAGGGTGTTGGAATTTGGGGAAGACTCCTGTGTGTCAGACTTATATTTCTGCTATAAATATCAGATAAGACCATTCTTAAATAATGAAAAACTAAACTGTATTACCCAGAATCAGAATCAGAATCAGAAACAGGTTTATTACCAGGTAGGTTTACACGTACGAGGAATTTAACTTGGTGTCGTGGTGCATAAAAACAAGAATTAAAAACACAGGTAGAGAACTAGAAAAATATTTAAAATAATAAAAAATATAGTTAAATATAGCAGTATTTACATTGCAATGGAATGTAATAGAAGGAATAAAATATGGAATAAAAATCAGCAGTAATAATATTTATAAACACAGGGTTGCACAGCCACTAGCGCAGACAGTAGTTATAATAATAATAATAATACATTTAATTTCAAAGCGCTTTTTCAGGTGCTCAAAGACGCTTTACAGTGGTTTGATAAAACATGATAAAAAAAATTATTAAAAATTAAAACAGCAACACAACATAATTCACAAATTAAAAGCCAGTCTGAAGAGGTGTGTTTTGTTCAGTGTTTTGAAAGTGGGGGGGTCGGTGCAGTCTCTGATGTCATATTATTATAACATTATCACAGCACTCGTGCCTACCTGGAGCTCAAGTTGCTGCACCACCTGCATCTGCACTCTGCACTGCGCCGTACTCCTGTCATCCAGAGTGTGCTCACTGCCTATGTGCCTGAAACACATTGGGGTAACGTTAAAGGAATATTCAACAACAAAAAATCACATTGCTCAGTATCATATACTCCAATTGCTCCGTCACAGAGATAACAGTTATTTTGAGCTACAATTTCTTCCAATGTATTTGGGAGAGAAACTTCCTCTGGATATGAAACACACCAGGAAAGAGAAAGCCCCAACAGAGCCCCTTTAATATATAAGAGAGTGAAGATTTGTTTGACGCATACTGAACAGAATCAACAGCAGAGAAATGGATTATGTTTGAGTGGTTTTAAGAAAGTTGAATGTTTTGATAATACACATTATGGTTTTGTGTTTTTACAAAATTGAATTACATTGTAGTACATTTGAATCCAACCTGACTGCCATGTATCCTTCTCATGTCCTGAAATAGGCATCAGTTTTTCAGAAAAATGTATTAAAAAAAACACATTTTGAAATTATTTCCATAATCCCCAAATTCCTTCTGAAAATCAGGAGAAAAAAAATACTCTTTTCTGCTCAATTAATACAATTTGTTCCCTGTTTGCCAACTAGTAACTCTATTTATTTCTATCTAAATAATGGTTGTAGCCAGAAATGACTCTCTTTTTGTTTGATACTCAATTGTGTAAAATGGATTTATGGAAAATGGATTTATCATAAATTGGATCTAATGACAAATCTGGGGCTACTCAATTTCCAGAGCCACTTTTTAAGCCATTTGATAATTTGATACTGAATAGATTATTACTGAAATATTGCTTACATTTAATACAGAAAGGTGCAAAGATTCAAAAAGTGATATACCTTAGGAATAGATCAACTTACTTGATGAACTGGCTGACGTTTTCACACAGCGACTCACATCCAGGCCAGTTACACACACCGTGCCCGTAGAGAGTGTGTGTGGCAGCGCGATCAGCTGTGACGGCACTGGATTAAAAGTATTATCCTGATTAAAAACTACAGCAACAAAACATGTTTTCTTTCATTTTCAGGTGACAGAAAATGACAGAGAGAGGTTGAGGAAAACAAATGGAAAACTATTTACTTTTGATTTTTGGGACACGTAGTCATGTAAACTTTTTTCTTTGCTGAACCACTTCAGGTGGTGGAACACAAAGCAAACAAACAAGACAAAATAAATCGTCCCGTGGGGAATTAACAGTGGAGCAGAACTGCTCCTCACCCGTACCTCGAGAGAAAGAAAATGTCTACAGATGACGAGTGTTTGATGTTTAGAAAGAAGCGGTATCAGTTCTTAAAATCACTTTACAGCACAAAGAGAGAAATCCTACCATTCTGCGCTGCGAGGAGACTGATGGTCACCGCTCGGCCTCCCGGTGACTTTAGCTGACATCATGTTGTAAGCAGAAGAGTCCTGATTGGCCTTCGATGTCATTTTATCTTCAGTTATTCCATGTGTGAGCTCTTTCCATATCTGCAGCATCTCTGCAGGGCTGAAACCTGCTAAAGCATAAAACAACGTATTGGATATTTCTCCATTTGAGAGTTTTGTTTTCATTGTTGATTGAGGAATCAGCAAAAATAATACATGATTTATTATCTCTAATACATTGGAAGCTTGGTGGCATATTTTTCCAGAATGATGATATTTTTTTGAAGATTATTCCTTTTCACACTTGCCCTTTTTTTTCATCTCTGCCCCTCATTAACACTGTTTCTACTGATTCCCGTCTGAGAGCAGTTTGAGGGCAGAAACAGGTAGATCAACTCTTTCATGACCTCATGTAACCTCTTCGCTGTAATCTAGGAATAACTATAATTAATGCTAGAAAGTGAGTCAAGTTTAATCGTCTTTTTTTAGGTTTCACTTACATCACTGTCTCTTTTGAGTTTAGTGCAGTCATGCAACTGATCGTAAAATCAACAAGGAACAGATCTGCCTGTGTGGAGCACTCACTCAGGGGCGCCGTAAGGGGGTGAAAAGTTAGGACAATTCTAAGGGCCCGTGACTGACAGGGGCCCAAACTATTTTAGAACATTAACATGGAGCCCAAAATCCCTGGCGGCGCCCCTGCACTCACTTACAACATTTGATCAGATACTTGTCCATGTTAGTGTATTATTGTGTCCTTGTGAAATAAAACAATATACTATAGTAGTCTTATGGGCTATTTCAGCCTTAAATTTGCAAACATTCAACACTAAAAACACATTGACTGTACAGGAAATGTAATCATGCATTACGTCAAAGTAAAACAGCTGACATTTCCTTTATCCAACATGAAGTGGAATTCTTTACCGAATGATTTAAAGGGCTGTAAGAAATGTTTTATGTTTAAGAAAATGTATACAGAAAGCGTAATTAGACAGTATGAAGTTGACTATTGATTGTGTTCTGGTTTTATGTTTCAGTATTTGTAAGCAACTGTGACTGAAAGAATATTGCTTTTATTTGACTTTTTAATGGTTATTTCATTTTTTGTTGTTGCTATTTTTTGTAAGAAGGGGAAGGTAAAATAAGATGTTCTTCTCCCTGCTCCTTTCCACCACGCGCTATAAAGAAAACAACCAGTATAAGTGTACATGTTTTGTAAAGTGTTCATTTTGTGTAAAGGTGAAGGAAGTCCCTCCCTTTCCTCCATGGGACCTTATTTCTGAAAAAGTATGAATTGAAGTCAATGGAGAGAGAGAGATTATGTTTCGATCCCGTTTGAATTGTGCCACGAATTACACATATGATGTTTGTCAATTTAAAAGATAATTTTGCAAGTCCAAAAAATATAAATGTGTCGTAAAACTGTGAAGTGACACTTTGTGTGAAAACGCTCAATGAACTACATCTCCCGTCTCGCACCACACACCAAGACGGCCGTCACGTTGGCACATTTAGCTTCTTTCTTCAGAATGAGGCGAAAAGTATTAAAAGAGGTGGAAAATCACTCCAAGTCTGGGCATGTTGAGAGCTGTACATACACACAAGGGGAGTTAGTCGGTTCATTAGAGCCAGCATGCGGGACCGGGACTCTGGGATTTGTAGTCTTTCTAGTTGTGTATTTTTCATAGTCTTATATTTCAACAGTTTTACGACAAACTGTGACTTTTTTGACATGGAAATTATTTTTTAAGATTGACAAACATCATATGTGTAATTCGTGGCACAATTCAAACGCGATCGAGAGATAATCTTTCTCTCTCCATTGACTTCAATACATACTTTTTCAGAAATAAGGTCCCATGGGTCGGAAGTAGATGGGCGGGACTTTGCCACTCTATATGTCTTGTAAAGTGTTAATTTTGTGTAAAGTCTACATGTTTTGTTTTAAAATAACTGCCATGTGTGGAATAAACAAATAAATCAATAGGGGGGTCATCATACCCTAACATTGCACGATTCTCAATACTACAAAACAATAAATCCCATGTACTTCAACATACATTTGCATACTTCTTTTCATGTCACAATTCTCTAATATCCATTTTATATTGATGTGAAGACATGTCATTGGGATTTATTCAAGCCTCTCAGCAAAAACTACATTTCACAAGATAACAATTTAACACACCGTGATAACAAAACGGTTTGTACGAATGTCTTTTTTACTTTATAGCGCTTGAACGCACCATTATTCAACTCTTACCGGCTGCTAACAGCTAATGTTAGCTAGCTTTTCAGCCGATATTTTGTTCACAATGTAGCATCATCAGGAGGAAAATAGGTCCTGAGATGCATTTTATGTGAGTTCACTGCAACCAAAACACTTTTTTGGTATCTCTATGACGACAGGAAATGTGTCTCGAGCCCTCGCAGCAACTATGCTCCTTTAGAAAAACAAGAAGGGTCAAATTTCGAGTATTCTGTCTGTAGGAGCCAAAATGCTACTTAGCCTGAGTTTGTATTATTATTATTATTTGTTTACGTCACTTTTATTTGTATTTGTTGAGCACTTCCGGCAATCGTCACATGGGTGCGGTTGGTGTATTTAGTATAGAATTTGTTTCTGTTGACCGTTTTTGTCCCTCCAACTTATTGGGTGTGTTGATTTTGTTTATTAAATATCTTCAACCTGTCTTTCTTCAGTATGGACTTTCTCATTGAAAAGGCGTCGCAGCATAGAGCCAAGCTTAGCCTCTCGGGACTCAAACTTAACGGGGATTGAGCCACCACACTGGAATCTATTTTCTCGTCACATCTCTAGTGATACGATCTGTCAGGTGATCACAGTCTAATCTGCTTCATGGCTTTGGTCTGAGCAGCAGAATTCTGACTATTTCGCAAAATCTCAAAATTCTGACTATTTCTCAAAATCTCAAAATTCTGGCTTTTTCTCAAAATCTAAAAATTCTGACTTTTTCTCAAAATCTAAAAATTCTGACTTTTTCTCAAAATCTAAAAATTCTGTATTTTTTCTCAATTCAGATTTTTTTCTCAAAATCTAAAAATTCTCTATTTTTTCTCAAAATTATGATTCTCAAAATCTAAAAATTCGGATTTTTAAAAAAAACTCCAAATCCTGACTTTTTTCTCAAAATCTCACATTGGCAATGTTGGCATCTATCTTGTACCAAATGTTTTGTTCTCGTTACATCTCTAGGGATGAAATGTGACAGGTGATCCCAGGTAAATCTAATCTGCTTCATGGCTTTGGTCTGAGCAGCAGAATTCTGACTCTCAAAATCCTGACTTTTTCTCAAAATCTAAAAATTCTGTATTTTTTCTCAAAATCCTGACTTTTTCTCAAAATGTTGTATTTTTTCTCAAAATTATGAATTTTTCTGACTTTTTCTCAAAATCAAAAAATTCTGTATTTTTTCTCAAAATCTCCAAATTATGACTTTTTTCAAAAAATCTCCAAATCCTGACCTTTTCTCAAAATCTCACATTGGCAATGTTGGCATCTATCTTGTACCAAATGTTTTGTTCTCGTGACATCTCTAGTGATGAAATGTGACAGCTGATCCCAGGTCAGTCTCACCTGCTTCATGGCTTTGGTCTGAGCAGCAGATCCGACTCGGGACACAGACAGACCGACGTTGATGGCCGGACGGATTCCTTTGTAGAACAGCTCGGTCTCCAAGAAGATCTGAGAGACAGAAACAGCTTTGATTACTCCGTGCAGGATTCATCTTGAGATCTCTGAGTCTCGTCTCCATTGCTTCAGACTTTTCCATCACTATTATTATTATAATAATAGAGTCCCGCCCTCACCTGTCCGTCAGTGATGGAGATGACGTTGGTGGGAATGTAAGCAGACACGTCTCCGGCCTGGGTCTCGATGACGGGCAGCGCTGTGAGCGAGCCGCCGCCGAAGTTATCGTTCATCTTGGCGGCTCTCTCAAGAAGACGGGAATGAAGATAGAAGACGTCTCCGGGGTAAGCTTCACGACCGGGGGGGCGGCGCAGCAGCAGGGACATCTGACGGTAAGCAACAGCCTGCAGGAAAAGGGAAGGGGGAGGATTTAGTTTCTGTTAAAAAAATATCACTGGTCCCCGGCTTGAGCTTGAATCTCAGGATCCATGTATCTGTGATCCTCTCCAGAATGGAAGTACCGTAATTTTCGGACTATAAGCCGCGCCTTTTTCCCCATTTTTCGACGCTGCGGCTTATATAACGGTGCGGCTAATCTATGGATTTTTACAGCTAACGGCCACCCCCTTTAACTCTATGGGCTCTATGGCCGGTCCGCGGACCCCCACCTTTAAGCGGCGGGTTCCAGCAGGAAAAGCTGGAGGCCGGAAAAGAGTGAGACAGGTAGCGCGCAAAAGTAAAAGTGGAACCGAGAGTGGTATGCCGCTGCTGCGGCTTATATTCAGGTGCGCCTTATAGTCCGAAAATTACGGTAGTCTTGACAGAAATCATTGGTGTGATCCTGAGAAATCTGTCCTCAGAAGTAAAAAGGGTTTATATTCCTATGCTGTGGGAAAATGTATTAAAGTATATACAGCATACTCACTGAACCTACGATCTAAGTTTTTCATACATAACATAATAACTCCGTAGTTGTGTATATGTTATGATAATAAACCTTTGAATCTCGTGGCCTTTAGAAGTGCTGTAAACATATTTATATGTTTCTATGCTAAACATAGGCTTTCTCAATCCTGTCATATTTCTTTATTGTTATCAGCAGGGGCGTCGCCTGGACCTGAAAACATTTGGCGCAACAGTAGAATTTTGTACTGCAACACTGCCCACACGCACACACACAATACAACCGCGACTGTTACAATGAAGGCTCGATAATCAGCTCACGGCATAAAGGCAGGGGTAAAGTGCTATTTTTTTATGAGTATGGGGGCGGACCTCACCTCCTCTAGGGGGGTCCGGGGGGATGCTCCCCCGGGAAGATTTTTTTTAAAGTAAATCATCAATCTGGTGCACTTTGAGAGCAACATTAAGAGATCTATGGATAAATCTCTCAACACCCATATGAAGCAGAACTGTAAACAGAGTTTTCTTTTTCTTTATGC